ATAAGAAACTAAAAAATATATATAGTCAACGGATGAGTTAAACCAATAAATAAAACAAAACAAAAAATTACTTATAACTGAAACCAAAACCATGAATTCAAAAATATCACATTGACATCATCCTAACTAAACCGTAGTTCAAATGAAAGTTTTCTCTACCAAAATCTTGTAGAAGGCTAGTTATAAAAATATTTAAAACAAAATATACGTTTCATGTTTTTGTCTTTATTTACTTACACCATCTTAAACCTATAATGTCAGTATATGTTAGCTGTGTTGTATCAAAGTTCCAAGGGTATGTTATAACAAAGTGCATGTATTAACCCTTTCTATACATGAAACAGTTGAAGTGTTATTACTTTTTGAAATACAATGAATATAAATATGGATGAAGGATGAAATATTGAGCAATTACGTGAGTCAATGTCAAATTTAAGGGTTGCTGCAGGAAACATATTTATGAAACATTTTTTGATGGTGTTTCCGCATCTAAAATTTATTGTAACGTCTAACACTCGAGCATTGTTTGTTTCTTTTAAATTTCGCGCAAAGCTACATGAGGACTATCTGCGCTATCCGTCCCTAATTTAGCAGTATAAGACGAGAGGGAAGGCAGCTAGTCATCACCACCCACCGCCAACTCTTGGGCTACTCTTTTACCAACGAATAGTTGGATTGGCCGTAACATTATAACGCCCCCACGGCTGAAAGGGCGAGCATGTTTGGTGTGACGGGGATTCGAACCCACGACTCGTAGATTGCGACTCGAGCGCCCTGGCCATGAACACTCGAATAACCTTAAAAGATCTTTTAAGATTGTTTTCTTGATGCTGTGACAATACAAGAGCAACCTGAATACAATTTATAAAGTCAGTGTGTAGGTTTGTCTGTGTACATTCAAACGTGTTAGTGTTAGAAATTTGGCGCAACATTACATAAAGTGTTATCTGCGCATAAACATCCCTAATTGTCAAACCTGGGGACTAGGGCTCCCATCTGCGTATCGCAGGTTCGAATCCCCCGTCTCCAAACGTGCTCGCCCCTTCAGCCGTTGAAACATTATTATGTGACAGTCAATCCCACTATTCGTTAGTAAAAGAGTAGCCCAAGATTTGGCGGTTAGTGTTGACTAGCTGCCTTCCCTCTAGTCTATCACTGTTAAATTAGGGACAGCTACCGCCGATAGTCCTCAAGTAACTTTGCTCGAAATTCAAATCAATTTGAACTGATAGACAAGAGGAAAGCCAGCTAGTCACTAATTCTTGTGCTACCCTTATCTAACCGATTAGTGGGATTTGACCGTCATTCTTGTAGCACAGTCATGGCTTCAAAGTGCGGAGTGTATTTCTACAGAACATTCGAATTAAAAATAACTCTAACCATAATGAACAGAAACTTTTTGTTGTAAGAATTTATGTGTGTGATATTACTTCGCAATTATATTAATTATAATTTAAATAAAGGTGTTCTTCATTAAATGTGGAGTGGATAGTTGACACGTTCCATATAATGACACAATGAAAACTAAGTAATAAATATTCTTATGCCCGTAGATAGACAGACAGACAGGTGGATAGATAGATACCAGTCTCAGGATATTACATTCACGAAGATTCTCAGAAAGAAACAAAGGACCTTTTCTAGAGACAATTACGACAGTCAGTGTATTGACTACTTTTGTTTTACGAACGCTTAAAATATGGACATTTCTTTCATTCTTTGATTTCATAAACATTATAAAATATTATGAATACATAACTAATAGGTATAGAGTGTTTATCTATTAAACATACATAAGTATATTGTTCAGATTCTTACAGAATAGTACGAACATTACTCAGAATCTTTATTTTCAGTTTTGTATTTTTGAAAGCTTTCTATTTTTACCCACGTGCTTCGTGACAGGACATTGCTAATTTACGTCCACAGGAACGTTAATAGTTCTCTCTTGGTAAATATGGACTGACCAAATGAAGTATTATATATTTTTACATAACAGTTATTTTGCTAGAAACCTGTGATGTATTTAATTTTTTGTTTCACAAGAAACAGTAATGAACTTACCTTTACTTCCGTGAGTTAAATCTAGAAAAGGTCCCACTGCTAACACTAATATGATGATACTAGTCGCCAACCCTGTCATTCTGTGTTAGACTCTTGGATTTCTAGAAATTCTAAGTAATAAAACAGAGTTGAATATTACATACTGAATATATATGTATATATATATATTTATATTTATAACAAAGCTAATAAGGCTATCTGACGCCTTTTCTAGTTTTGAGCTACTGACCAGAAGTAAAGCATCCAGTCAGATGCACCCTACCACCCACCATCCACGCTAAAGGATTGACTATCACTCTTATAACTCACCCACATCTTTCTACTTTTCTGTTTTCTTATTCATTTCGTAAATTTGGTCAGTCCATTCTCTTCTGTGTTTATGTAATGTTATTCGACTTAAATGGGTTAAATGTTTTGTACAAGTTATCACAGTGATAACTTTATCGTTTATTTCTTATAAAATGAGAGTTTTGCTATCTCCAAAGTACCAGAGTATATTATTATACAGGATGATACAAAATTCACGCACATGATATTTCTATGGTCCACTTTTAATGTGAAGTTTTGAAGCCATCTTGGTGTCTCACTAACTGTCTATTTTAATTTGGTTTGGATACTCTGAGCCTTACAAGAACGCATGTAAGTGACTCTTTTGTGTAGGTATTATGAGTCAAGTCGTTTGTTGATCGTTTCGTAAATTTGTTCCGTAGTCGATTTTAAATGCTGTGGAAGACACATTTTAAAGATATAAATGACATCAAGTCAACATACTGTACAAGAAATAAGAATAAAACAAAACGTGTGCTCCGGAGTCTGAAGCAGCATCACTTCCATCCTTCCAAGTTGCACATACCCTAAACATTAACAGATCATGATTCATAGCACACTTCCATCCTTCCAAGTTGCACATACCCTAAACATTAACAGATCATGATTCATAGCACACTTCCATCCTTCCAAGTTGCACATACCCTAAACATTAACAGATCATGTTTCATAGCACACTTCCATCCTTCCAAGTTGCACATACTCTAAACATTAACAGATCATGTTTCATAGCACACTTCCATCCTTCCAAGTTGCACATACCCTAAACATTAACAGATCATGATTCATAGCAGTGTGTGGGGGTTTGTTAGAGTAATCTGTTGAGAGGAAACAGATGAAATTATGGCTATTGTGGTCTGATGTCCTATATTTGGTATACATTTCATTGATGTTGGATGAAGAAGGCTATCTAGCTTTTTTGTTGTTGTCCAAGCGGTCACAGACTTTCAAAACATGGTAAAGGATGAATGGTTCAGCAAGATATTGTGCTGTCACGCCATGCACAGTACGTCAGGTAAAACCCAGGTGTTTCTTTTCTCATCTTGGGTCAACGGTATGGACTCCCAATCCTCTTGATCTTGAATTATTTCACTTTTTTAAAGAGAAATAATTCAAGATCTTAGTGTTTATCACACGTCCGAATCATCTAGAATATCTGAAGCAGAAAATCGTAACAGCCTGCTAAAATGTAACACAAACAGTAATTCAGAGCTTGAGCGAAAACCTAAGCAAAAGAAGGACATTGCACTGTAGCATAAATGGTGCACTTCTCAAACAGGGAAAGAGCAGCACTTAGAAACATCATGACGGCATGCAACTTTTACATCAACCTGTGGTAACAGAAGTATATAGTATTTCTGTTGATTTTAGTATATAACTGTAAACCTCTGCACAGTGCTTTCTTAAAATAAAATCATATAAGTAGTAGGATGACTGCACGTAGCCATAACAAATAAATATATGTTTTCGCTACCAGGTGATGAAAAGATATAGTGACAGGCATGAAATAAAGATATTCTGTGTTACTAAGCTATCGCTTCTAACTTCCGTTCATTAGGGTGACATGAGTAAAAAATACTGTGTTTTCATAAATTAAACCAAACATATTTTATTCTAGTTACTTTCCAGATAAGTACCTTCTATAAACTAATATGATATTAATCGTTAAAGGTAAAGTATGTTCCAAATTTCTCCTTATTAATTCTTTGTGTATTTGGTTTCAGAGCCGTGTACTAACCGTTTCAGACACATTTTCTCCAAGTCATACCTAGAAGGTCCATCATTTAATACATTAACTGAACTGGGCCTGGTGGGGGAAAGTGCATCTGGTATGCTATTTGTATGCAGTACCAGAAACATAATGCAATAGCGTGAAATGTCTGGTCTAGAAAAGCACTAAGATTTTAAGATCTAATTAACGCGATTAGTTTGTTTGTTTGATATGAATTTCACGCAAAGCTATACGAGGGCTATCTGCGCTAGCCGTCCCTAATTTAGCAGTGTAAGACTAGAGGGAAGGCAGCTAGTCATCACCACCCACCGCCAACTCTTGGGCTACTCTTTTACCAACTAATAGTGAGATCGACCGTCACATTATAACGCCCCCACGGCTGAAAGGTCGAGCATGTTTGGTGTGACGGGGATTCGAACCCGCGACCCGCTGATTGCGAGTCGAGCACCCTAACCACCTGGCCGTGCCGGGCCTTAAACGCGATTAAAATCATGGTTAACAATAGACGGTTTTACTTCACTTTCTTCCTGGCTATGGATTTTGAATCAGAAGTGTGTAGACACGGCATTAAAGGTACTTAATGAAGCAAGAACAGTTTTAGTTAAGGATTCGATAGCCGTTACTGCAAAAACGCGCTCTGAATTTTAGAACCGTGTGTGCTTTTTAAGATTGGCTGTGAAATCTTGGCATCGATCAGAGAAAGTAGCCCAAGAACTGATGATGAGGTCTGTTAATTAGGTCTGTCATTCTTCTAGTCTGTCAGTTAAAAATTAAGGGTGGATAATGTAGCTTTGCGAGAAATTCTGAAAAAAAACAACATTTATTACTAATTTGTATTTCTATTTAGTTTGCTATTCGATGATGTTTCAATAAACTGATAAAGTACCTTTTTAAATACGACTTTATTAATAGATAATTCTATTATAATTTTTTCAAGTTTATATCTAGGGGTTTAGTCCACGTTTCTTTAACTTATAGTCCCCCCAGTAGCACAGCGTTTTACTTTGTGATGCTCAAAGCTACACAAAGGGCTATCTGTGCTCTGGCCACCACGGGTATCGAAATCCGGTTTCTGGGGTTGTAAGCCCGCAGACCTCCCGCTGTGCCGGGGGGGGGGGGGCAGTTTGCAATGGATAAAGACATTGTAAGCATCGTAAACGCGAAATTTTGAAAAAAAGCAAACAAAATCGAAATTAAAAGAACCTTTATTGGAAAATATTGGGACAGCTACTTTGCGTAAACTTAAAACTTTACTATAATGAAGAATAAGTCATTCATTGATTTTTAACTGATCATATATTCCAACTGTTTACAACTGACTTGAGGGTTTGAAGAAAATCAAGCATCTGTAAATTAGTTTTATAATAACATATAATATTATCAGCACGTTCCCTCTTGAGATTCCCGCTCCGGAAAAAAATGGATGTTACTGTTTTTAGCACAAAATTACACAATGTGTTATGTGCGCTTTGTTCATCGCGGGGAATCGAACCCCAGCTTTTAGCGTTGTAAGTCTGTAAATTTACCTCTGATCCAGCGATGGACAGTGTTTTAAGGCAATTTAGAACTTTTATGGTTTTTATTTTTTACTTTTCTTTTTCATCTTTGTTTTCAATTTTTTTTCTCTGCTGTTTCATATGCATGAGTCCTTATTATTCAAAATGTTTATTTGTATTAACTTTAGCTTTGAGAGGTTTTCAGGATAGATAATATCATTCACACAGCTTACGATTAACCCAAAAAACTGTTAATACGTTCTACTTGCATATATATATATATAAACAAGTAACAACAAATTGTCAATCTAGAGCAACTGGCAGAATGTAACATCACATGGTCGATGTTGATCAAAGTGCAAGGCTCTATTTCTACAATCACATCCATGTTGAAAGGTGATATGGAAAAATATTGCGAGTTCTCCCTACCACATGTCAATCCACACATATGTATGCAAGAGCAAGACTTTAACATTCACATTTAACCAATCATAAAAGAGCCATATTTGGAAAATAATATCCTCTTTAAAGAACTCCGATTAGAGCATTGAAATATACTATTTAAAAGTACTTTTGTT